TTCTTATCACATAAAATCTTTTCATTCTCTTCATGTCTTCAATACTTGATGGTAATGGAAATGTAATTAAAAAGTATGTCTCCCATTCAACTGTGTATTTTAGAGGAGAATATAAAAATCTATTAAAGTATTCAGATCTATAACACACACACACACACACACACACACACACACACACACACACACACACACACACACACACACACACACACATATATATATATATATATATATACAGGTAAAAATCCGTGGTAAAGTAATCCAAGTGAATCTTAGTAATATAAAATATTAAAACTATAGAGAGCTCAATGTATTTAATATAGAGCATATATAAATTGCATGTAGATAAAATTCAGTAGCCCATATGAAATATGGCCATTTCACCCCGAACAGGCTTTTCAACACCAAAGAGTTAGATAAAACTGAATCATTATGATTCATTTTTTATCTAACTCCTTGGTGTTGAAACGCCCATTCGCGGCGAAATGGCCTTATATCTTATGAGCTATTGAATTTTATCTACACGTAATTCATATGTATATATATATATATGTCTATTTAGAGATTTGCCGAAAGCAGAAGTCTTTATTTTACATTTTGAAGCAGAAGCAATATTTTTTTAACATGTAACTGATTGGACAAAAATATTTTAATTATTTGTACAGTCGCAGAGATTATTGGAGCATGCTAATAACTTGGGTCGAGTTATATTACTTCTAATATAAAATGCGGCGTAAATTGAGTCCCCTATGGCGATAGGAAACAGTAACTGAAGTAAGTAGTAAGCGCATTTGTTCTTGGAAGGATATACTATCGAAAGACTATTTAGGAGCTCTTTACATGGAATCGAAACTGTACTTATTAGAAATATTTGTAGAAAATTGAATAGTTAGTATGTGACACTTCCACGATCAAATAAAACAGTAAAGATAAGTTAACAGGGCGAGAAATGATTTGACGCATAAATATTATTTTTAAAGTAAAATCCCTAACAAGTTACTTCAAGATGTCACTCTAACTTAGCTTTCATTCACACGAACCCACTTTTCATTATTGTCCGACGCGGAAAGCCTCTCTCTCCCTCATTTCTGGCCTTGACCATAAGCCGATGTTTAAAGTATGCGACCAATTACTTAGAAGAAAGTGAAAATGAACTTTCTTTACTGGTGTCACTCAAATCACCATTCTCATCACACCGGAAACGCATAATGCCTCTTTGTCGAACTACAGGTCCATATTACTAGAGACGAAACTGACTCCCAAAGCCAAAAATCTGTTCTCAAAGTATGTGAACCGTACAGCCTTCAACTATCGTGCGCAGTGTGTGTTCTACAGCGCAGTGAATATATCCTTTTCTGACGGATGCAGTCTGGCAAAACAACCAGTTCTGCCATGAAAGATTTTTGGTCGACCGAGAGAGCGCCCCGTATTATAAGTCATGTGTGGGGGGATACCACGCCGTTATTGAAACATTTCAACCTGATTTCATATTGATCGATACTGTACGCCTCAATCAAATCATTCTGCCCGACATCTGCAAATAAGACTCGACAATGAAAGAATCAGAAAACACGATAGAAAGTGTGCTAAACAATTACTCAAAATTAGCTTTGACCAAATTAAGTCTATAATAGGATCAGCTGAAATAGCAACACCTGAAATCGTCTTGCCGGGCTATAATCGTCAAATCTGAAGCTGACATAGATAAGGACTGAAAACGATCAATAATGCCTCGCATGTCTGATCCTGCGTAGCATCTCCACCACAGCCGCTACTACGCCTCACAAGGAAGATCATTGCTTCCGAAAACTTGTTCCGTCCCGACCATCTCCAATATTTCCATTCTCCATCACCAGGCCTTATACCGAACCGATGTCCCAGAATCGAGGAAACACAACTAAATAGTGCCTAATCAAGATAAACAAAGACCCCCCCCCCCACAGCAAAACTTTTGAAAATAGTCCCGGAATTCTCACAGTTGCAGTCAAGATACGTTCAACCAGAGAAGTGACAACGGCGACAACGTCGACCAGTAGCACTCCTAAGTTCGACCCTAGGAAAAAATTCCGTCGTAACACTGACTGCCTTAACAGACATTCTCCCACTCCATCTCTAATCACAAGGGCCAGATCCCTTTCTCTAAGAAAGGAGTTCGTCTCCGTCTTAGTCACCGTCAATTCGCCTACATCTCCACCCTAGACCGCTCTTTACGCCTACACAACCGATAATAAAAGACTCAACAGCAATTCTGATGTTACATCCCCCTCCCATCGAAAACACAAACTTCCGCTGGAGGACCAGCATCATACAGTTACAGAAATTTCATTAATCTGACAAACATGTCAAAGTTCCAGTGCCGAGCCATTCAAGGCCATGATCTATTCAAGCTCATTTGAATTTACACTACCTTGAGGTCTGAACAAACAACATTCCGAAATACTAGGAAATAATAGAGTCCCAAGTCGGTACGCTCAACCATATTTTGGCCGATGCAACACAAACCCTGCATCAAAGCCGAGTCACGACCACTTGTACAAGTTCACACCGCCCATTTTGGATGCTCATCAAGCAAATACAGCCCAGGAAAAGACTTTCACATCTGGAGACACATCTTTCACATCTGGAGACACGCCAACATTTTTTTCAATGCACTCACAGTACAAAACGCTCCATATACACCCTTGTATAAATTAATTAAAATAAAACGAATAGTTTCGTTATTTATTTATTATTTTTAGTATTTTCCAATGAAACATGACCCAGTGTACATATTAGTACTTCGTATGTCCATTCCAAAAAGTCGTTCCTTGCAGATTGACCACAGATTCTCGATTGAATTTAAATCAGGAGAGTTCCCGAGCCAGTTGATTTCACTTTGATTTGCTCACTGGTAAGGCTTGCCAGTGTGTTCGTGTAGCGTTACAATTTTCGTACGTGTCCTTGGAGTAACAATGGCCGTAGGACAACTAATCAACAATCAAGACAATAGTGCCTGGGCGGAATAAAAATCTGATGCAGTCACAGATGACACAATATTTTTCATGCCAAAACAAATTTCATCATACGCTACGAAAATAGATCCATATTACTCCATATCACTGCGAATGACATAGAAATCGATTAGACCCTGTTACTTCAGAGGATCTAAAAAAAAAGACTGTATGTTGAAAGGATGGAAACTAAAGCGGTAGTTTCAATTAATTTGCACAAGGGTGTAGTTCGGAGACAGTCCAGAACAAACTTTCACATCTGGAGACACATCTTTCACATCTGGAGACAAACCAGCATTATTTTCAACGCACTCGCAATCAATGACGATACACAAACTACAAGCCAACATAACTTGTCCCGAAAACAACGGAAATGAGACTATAAATAAAAAAAGCAAACAGCTTTCCACTATGTCCAGACGCACAAAACCCGATTAACCGAAGTGTCCTCTTCTTTATGGCAGAATCCATAAGCCACATCATGCCATCTGAACGGTCAAAAACGAACAACCAGACAAGAAACAAATGATTATTAGAACATGCAGAAAAGAGGCTGAACCTCCTCGACAGAATATTTTAATGTAGTTTATCGTCTTACCCAGGACGCGGATGTAGTTTATCGTCATACCCAGGACCCGGATGTAGTTTATCGTCATACTCAGGCCGAAACATTTATGGTCTGCTGTATTGAATTAATGACATTATCGATAATAACTTCTATCTAGAAATATTGAATGAGTTTATATTGGCGTGAGCTCAAAATCATATGGGTTCGTTGATTTCATCGAGAACTGATGGTAACAGATTGCATATTTTATGGCACAATACGGATGCACTTTAGAATGTCATGGCAAAATCCACTTGGAAGCAAAAAAAGAATTGTAAGTACATATCGATGGCCTGCAGCTGTAATATTTAAAAAAAAATCAGTTACTTTACTAAACATTAGTGTTATTTAATTTATTTCTTTGCTTTCTTAGTGATTGTTGTGGATTTATTTCGCAGTGGAGGGTCGTATTTGTACTAAGTCGGTCCTAAAATAGGTTCGACGTACAAAAGGTTAGAAACTTGATATAATAGGTATTACGCAGAGTAAACTTGTGGTCGCTGACTATTTTCGTATTCGACTAACTGTCGACTACTGTCGTCCGACATCGACTCACATCGACTGACTCTCGTTTCTCTTACTACTCCTACTTATATTAGGTGGGAGAGTCTATTAACTATAGAATAGGTGTGTTTCACCATAACACTGTTATATACCGTACCTATGAACACTAATGGGTATGTGCCAGTCCTTATAAATAATTTGGACAATATTGTAAGTGGGGGTCATATGCTGTCTAAGTAGTCCACCATTAGCAGTGGTTTCCCTACTTCACGCCGCTGGCGAGTATTGTATTTTGTTGATGTTATAAAGTTTACCATTACATTTCCAACTACCGTTTTGGTTACTCCTCATTCAGTAACCTTATCTAGGTGACAACACAAGAAACAAGATTGATCATCTGTACACAGCAGACGTCCATCTTGAAGCAGCAATCTTGAACGGGTCCAGCTCCTCCAGACTCCGATACCCGATCCTGGCCACATAAAGCAGCCAACCAGTCAAGATAAACCCAACAGTGCTGAAGCACGCAGAAAAAAAACAAAACAAAAAAGAAATGCCGAAGTGAGGACATCGTTGGCCCTCCAATGGACCCATGTTTCATTATACAGAGCCCTCCAGGGACCATTTATTGATTTCCTGCAATAGCGCTATGAAGAGAAAAATTAATATAAAAAGGGGCCCAATCAAACAACGCTGCTTCAACTGTTTTTTTTATAATTAACTGAGATAAACTGTTAGTTAATGAGATAATTCAAGGGCTTCGCTTGCTCTCCAAATCACATTCCAAATCGGTTTGTTGACTACTGTATATTTCACATCTGGAACAGATCCGGGTCAACATGACAGATGTCTTCCTACATTCTGAAATTCCTTCTTGATAATCTTCTCACTAAGACCGTTCATCTTCCCAACAGCCAGTAGAGGAGCGTATCTGTCCTAAGACCACGGTAATTCAAAATAGGTGTAAGGGAAGGTGAAGCTGGAAAGGTCGACCGCGTGTGATGAAGAAGCGACACGATGCAAAGAAGGAAATATATTTTGTATGAAATAGGAGAAATTGTATAAAGAAGATGAGCCGACGCGCAAAGAAAGCGAGACCGCGAGTAGAGTGATATTGCGGTGATAGGTACAATGCAGCCTGGCGAGACCGCGAGTAGAGTGATATTGCGGTGATAGGTAAAATGCAGCCCAGCGAGACCGCGAGTATATGTGGTGATATTGCCTGGCGAGGGATAGGTATATTGCAGTGATGGCGAGACCGCGAGTAGAGTGATATTGCGGTGATAGGTAAAATGCAGCCCAGCGAGACCGCGAGTAGAGTGATATTGCGGTGATAGGTACAATGCAGCCCAGCGAGACCGCGAGTAGAGTGATATTGCGGTGATAGGTACAATGCAGACCCGCGAGACCGCGAGTAGAGTGATATTGTGGTGATAGGTTGCGGTGTTAGTGATATTGTGGTGATAGGTAATGCAGGTCCGCGAGACCGCGAGTAGAGTGATATTGCGGTGCACAGCGAGAGGTAGAGTGATAATGCGGTGAGACCCGCGAGACCGCGAGTAGAGTGATATTGCGGTGATAGGTACAATGCAGGCCCGCGAGACCGCGAGTAGAGTGATATTGCGGTGATAGGTACAATGCAGACCCGCGAGACCGCGAGTAGAGTGATATTGCGGTGATAGGTAGTTATTGTGGTGAATGCAGGTCCGCGATAAGACGAGTAGAGTGATATTGCGGTGATAGGTACAATGCAGCCTGGCGAGACCGCGAGGAGAGTGATATTGCGGCGGTGATTGGTACAATGCAGTAGAGTGATACTGCGGTGTGATAGGTAAAATGACCGCGAGTAGAGTGATATTGCGGTGATAGGTACAATGCAGCCCCGCGAGACCGCGAAACCGCGAGATAGGACAATGATAGACCGCGGTGATATTGCGGTGAATCAATGCAGGCTGGCGAGACTGCGAGTAGAGTGATATTGCGGTGATGCAGGCCCGCGAGAGGTAGTGATATTGCGGTGATAGGTACAATGCAGCCCCGCGAGACCGCGAGTAGAGTGATATTGCGGTGATAGGTACAATGCAGACCCGCGAGACCGCGAGTAGAGTGATATTGTGGTGATAGGTACAATGCAGCCTGGCGAGACCGCGAGTAGAGTGATATTGCGGTGATAGGTACAATGCAGCCCAGCGAGACCGCGAGTATTTTGATATTTGCGGTGATATTCCGGTGAGACCGCGGGAAAATAGGCAGCAGCCTGGCGAGACCGCGAGTAGAGTGATATTGCGGTGATAGGTACAATGCAGCCTGGCGAGACCGCGAGTAGAGTGATATTGCGGTGATTGCGAGACCGCAATGCGGTGATAGGCCCGCGAGACCGCGGAGTAGAGTATTGATTGTGGTGATAGGTACAATTGTGGTGATATTGCGGTGATAGGTACAATGCAGCCCAGCGAGACCGCGAGTAGAGTGATATTGCGGGGAACAATGGCCTGCGAAACCGCGAGGTACAAGAGTGATATTGCGGTGATAGGTACAATGCAGCCTGGCGAGACCGCGAGTAGAGTTAGGTGATATAAAATGCAGGTGATAGAGTGATATTGCAGGCCCGCAGGCCTGGCGAGACCGCGAGTGATATTGCGGTGATATTTTCCATAAATGGTGATAGGTGATGCGGTGAATGCAACAATGCAGACCCGCGAGACCGCGAGTAGAGTGATATTGTGATATAGGTACAATGCAGACCCGCGAGACCGCGTAGGTGATATTGTGGTGATAGGTAAAATGCAGCCTGGCGAGACTGCAATGGGGGCGGAGAAGTGATACTGCGGTGATAGGTACAATGCAGACCCGCGAGACCGCGAAAGTAGAGGATATTGCGGTGATAGGTACAATGCAGCCTGGCGAGACCGCGAATGGATTTGCGGTGATAGGTACAATGCAGCCCAGCGAGAAAGAGTGATATTGATACACCAATGACCGCGAGTAGAGTGATATTGCGGTGATAGGTACAATGCAGCCCCGCGAGACCGCAGAGTAGAGGTGATATTGTGACCGCGAGTAGAAATGAAGGCCGGCGAGAGATAGGTGATAATGCGGTGGTAGGTACAATGCAACCCGCGAGACCGCGAGGAGTGATATTGCGGTGATAGGTACAATGCAGGCCAGCGAGACCGCGAGTAGAGTGAAGTTACAATGCAGGCCCGCGAGAGATGATATTGTGGTGAAGGTAAAAATGCAGCCTGGCGAGACCTCGAGTAGAGTGATATTGCGGTGATAGTACAATGCAGGCCCGCGAGACCGCGAGTAGAGAGTGATATTGCGGTGATAGGCGGTGAATAATGCGAGACCGCGTGTAGAGTGATAGCGGTGATAGGTAGGCAATGCAGCCCCGCGAGAGTGATATTCCGGTGATAGGTACAATGCAGCCCGCGAGACCGCGTGAAATATTGCGGTGATAGTGATAGGGTAGTGATAATGCAGTATTGCGAGACCGCGAAAAGCCCAGCGAGACCGCGAGTAGAGTGATATTGTGGGTGATAGGCCACAATGTAGTGATATTGCGGTGATAGGTACAATGCAGGCCCGCGAGACCGCGAGTAGAGTGATATTGCGGTGATAGGTACAATGCAGACCCGCGAGACCGCGAGTAGAGTGATATTGCGGTGATAGGTACAATGCAGACCCGCGACCGCGAGTAGAGTGATATTGCGGTGATAGGTACAATGCAGACCCGCGCGACCGCGAGTAGTTCGTCCTCTAGTTCTCTCCCTGATCGCCACCGCGTACACAGCATAAGATCGGGCGAACCCTCTGGTGGAAATAATGACTGGTAGGCTCTGACTTCCGAGTCCAGACAGCCAGAAACAGCGCTGGAGACCCTCATTGAATACCATATTGAAACGTCAACACCAGCACCCAGCTATATTGTTGGAAGAATACAGCCAAATGAATGTAAAATTATGAACCTGGGGACCGCTACAAACGCACCCCGTTGTATCCGCCATTCCATCCAGTCCCCAAAATAATGTTATACAGATCCCTTCAAGCCAATGTCAGACCCGGTATGAACAACAGAACATTTCATATTGGGAAGGCAACGCTCTTCCTACGGTCTGTTCTGCTCCCCACAAACACTTCTACAGACAGTGACCAGACCCCACTGACTCGTAGACCTGACAGCTCTAATGTACCTGTTGTCAAACGCGAAGAAAGGCACAGTTTATTCCTCGATGACCCCAAATTCGTGCTGGTTCACCAGAAATCATCCTCTCCAACAAAACAATATTACTAGCGACCAGCCACACAAACTTCTCAACATCGGAAACATAAAACTTTCTTAGCAACCAAGCAAGCCTCTGTGTTTCAGTTACGATATATAATATCACTTCCAACTTGTAACTTATTTTTTGTGTATATTACTTTTATCTATTGCAATATCGATAAAAAAGCGAAATTATTTCTCTTCTATACAGCAAAGTATTCAAAGAAGAATATTTTGTAAAAAATTCGGTGTTTATTTTTATAATCAAACTATTAACACAATAATCAAATGATTTGGTGATTATATATATATATATATATATATATATATATATATATATATATATATATATATATAAGACTATCATATTAAGAACATATGGTTTATTAAATAAAATATTTAAAGGCATGATTTTCGGAATTATTTTTGATGTTTATTCTTTGAATTTTCTTCTTGGACAATGAATAAAATGTTATTTGATTAAATGTTTCAAAATTCGTTTGCAAAATCGCATACGAAATGTCCAGTTTCCTAATCAATATTCAAACAGAAAAATATTAATTTCGAATCGATATTCTAAGTGAAAGAATTTCGTTTATTTTTGGCTCCGATTGATTTTCTATGTTTTTAGATTTTAATTCCGCTTTTCTTATAATTTTGGTAGATTTGTCATTGATGCCAAATTGGATGACTCGAAAAAGACGTGAAATATGACATACTTTGAAGACGGTAACAGTAAAAGACTTCACTGAATTTTGGAATATATTCATGACTTAAAACCTTTCTTTCTTTCTTTCTTTCTTTCTTTCTTTATTTATTTATTTATTTCGTTCTTTCTTTCTCTCGTTCTTTCTCTCGTTCTTTCTTTCATTTCGTTCTTCCTTTCTTTTTTCTATCTTTCTTTCTTTCTTTTTTACTTTCTTCAGTTCTTTCTTTCTTTCTTTCTCTCGTTCTTTATTTATTTAGTTCTTTCTTTCTCTTGTTCTTTCTCTCTTTCGTTCTTTCTTTTTTCTTTCTTTCGTTTTTCTTTCTTTCATTCTTTCTTTAGTTCTTTCTGTCTTAGTTTCTTTTTTCTTTCTTTTTCGTTTTCTTTTTTCTTTCTTGCGATTTCTTCTTTCTTTCTTTTTTCTATCTTTCATTCTTTGTTTCTTTAGATCTTTCTTTTTTCTTTTTCTTTCTTTTTCGTTTTTCTATTTTCTTTCATGTGTTCTTTCTTTCTTTCTTTCTTTCTTTCTTTCTTTCTTTCTTTCTTTCTTTCTTTCTTTCTTAACAAGATCATCATCTACAGTATCTTCTTCCGTCGTTCTAATAATCATCATCACCACCACCTTCTTCTTCTTCTTCTTCTTCTTCTTCTTCTTCTTCTTCTTTCGTTCTAATCTTTATGTGAGGATTTAAGTGTTCCTCGGATTTCATAATGTAATCCTTGCTAAGAATAAATTATTTTGAGAACAGATAAAAGGATGTCAACTGATTTCTGTTATTAAATCGATACCGAATGAATGCAATTAAACTGTTTTGGACAAAAGAGAGAATCAAATGAATCTACATCTATAAGCAGCTGTGGTTGTCGCTTGTTAACTTTTGAATTTTATTTTCATCCTGGAAAGACTAGTTAACACACACACATGTTTG